GTGAGGCAGAAGACAACAGAAAATGCACCAGTGTAAGGCAATGGAAGCAAAGTTGAAAAGGAGAAAACAGGGTCTCTCCATATAAGGAAGCCTTACGCTAATGGCATGTATTTCTACCTGTCGTGGTTTAAGCCCAGCCGGCAACTTGGAACCACGCAGCCGCTCGCTCACTCCCCGCCTTTTCCTTCCTCCCCCCGCTCCCGGAGGGATGGGGAGGAGAATCGAAGGAATGTAACTCCCATGGGTTGAGATAACAGCTCTCCAGTAACTAAGGTATAATACAAACCACTACTGCTACCAATAATAATGATAAGAGGAATAACAAGGGGAGAGGACACAACCGCTCACCACCCGCCGACCGATACCCAGCCCGACCCGAGCAGCGATCTGGGCCTTCCGGGTAACTCCCCCCAGTTTATATACTGGGCATGACGTGCTGTGGTATGGAATACCCCTTTGGCCAGTTTGGGTCGGGTGTCCTGCCTCTGCTTCCTCCTGGCTTCCCCTCCTCTCTGGCAAAGCATGAGACTGAGAAAGTCCTTGGTCAGAGTAAACATTACTTAGCAACAACTAAAAACATCGGTGTTATCAGCATTGTTCCCAGACTGAAAGTCAAAAACACAGCACTGCCCCAGCTACTAAGAAGGAGAAAAAATGACTGCTGTAGCTGAACCCAGGACACTACCAAGCCCTTCTCATCACTTAGATGCCTGATATATTACCAGCTTTCATGCAGTACTTTCCTCTTGGACTACTCACTCCACAGGCTTGGAGTGAGTAGTCAGTGCTGTGTCAGAGACAGGAAGAGTTATGGCAGGGTACAAGTACTACAGCAGGAACTATATGGCCTCGCAGAGTGGCAGCTGAGCTGCACTTGCTTCACAAGCCTAGAAGTCTTGGCACTGTGAATTACTGTAACTACTTTTTCCCCCTTCCCCACACCCTGGATAACAAGAAGTTTACTGGATGGTATGACATTAAGCTGGTGCTGGTAGGGAGGTGGCAGGGGAGGGAGCACAGATCTGGAAGTTCTGAAGAACCTGCAGCCTTCAGCATACAGAAAACAAGGAGCTGGAAGCATTTTAAGGTTTAACTAAGACAGATAGAAATATAAGAAATCAGATTTTATTCCCAAATGCTGCATTGGAAGGAAGTGAAGTGGTACTTAAACTTGATAAATAACACCTGCCCACCCCAATCCATGTTAAATCTAGCCTGTTTTAACTTGGTGTACCTGCAATAACCTGCTAAAGTTAGTTGTCGATGACAGCCTGCGCACAGGAAAAACCTCATGAGCAAAATAAAGTTACAACTAAATTAAGGCTTCAAGAACTCAAATATTAAAAAGGAATGTCACACAACAGAAGATGCCACTTCTCTAAAAGGAAAATAGACCAACAATTATATTTCTTAAAGCCAGCATGTCACAGATCTATTTCTATCACTACATAAAGGTATTTACAGCATTTTGAAGGTTTATATTTTTATTGAATTGGAAGAGGACTATAAAAAGAAATCATTCTTGAATTTGTGAAGCTTACATTTCCAAAGTTAAGTGTGTATATACTTATATACTTACAGTAATTTGCAGGGGTGGGGGGGAAATGACAAATGCCATTTTAAAGATTACTACTTTTGAAAACCTATATGGAATCTTGCATTGCATCTGTATGTTTAATCCATGACAGCTAAGAAGTCAGAAAATTACAAGAAACCTACCCATTTATATTTGGATTTTGGTATGCAAATACACAGTATGAAGTCAAACCAAAACCTACAGAATCGCAAGTCTTTATTCAAAATGGAACTACTTCCAACACAGAAGCCTTTCCACTGATAGAAATGAAGCAATGGAGATAACAAGCAGATTTCGTCCTCTGTTCTCATCTCTGTAAGCCTGCGGGTTTGTTTGATTTTTTGTTTGGGTTAAGGTTTTGTTGTTGGTGCTTTTCTTTGTAGGTTTTTTTTTTTAATTGTTTTTGGGTTTTTTTGTTTTGTTTGGGGTTTTTTGTTGGTTTGGTGCTTATATATTACTTTGAGTTATGGAAATCATAATACCTCTGAAGATAATTTAAAGAAACCAGTATTACTGGAAGCTTCTAACTGTAGTAACTCTGAACCTGGAGGTGGAAAGTGCCTCACCCCCAACCTGCACTTGTACTACTTTTACTATTAGATGGTATTCTGAGGCAAGTTGCTCTTTGATGCCTTTAGAAGCACCTAACTCTGGTTTAGTGCTTTCTGCTAAGAATTTTTTAACAGAGAAAACTTCTTCCTTATCAAGTCTTTAGGCTGTTGTCCTCTCAGCACAGGGGTTTTGTAAACTCAAACTTACAGACATACAAACTGAGATGTTAGCCAATAACATATCTGAAAGCAAAGAAAAATGTTTTGAAATACAGTAATTACATGACATAACACATCAAAAAACAAGTTTAGCCTCTGCACAGGCTATCTGAATAAATTAAATTGTATGAAATGTGCTAGAAGTATTTATGCTCGTTGGCCATATTAGTGTGAACATTGTTGTGTATAGTGTCCAAAAGCATACAAGACTTTTGGTCAGCTGCTGGTGTAGACAAGCTGCCTTTTTGTATTTTGCTACCAATTATGTATGCACTTCTACACCATGGAAGCTCAGTATTTTTCATGTGGAATACCCATTTTTTAATGCTAAAGAAACCTTACAGCATGCAAAAATTCCCATGCCCACAGTTTCATTGTGTGCCTATTTTTAATTACTTTTCTCAATAAAGAGGAAAGGACTTAACTCATCCAAACACAAAGTTTATCACTTGGTAATTTAATGGGGTATTGGTCCTGAATCACAGAATGTTTGGGGCTGGAAGGGACCTTAAAGATCATGTAGTTGTAACCCCCCTACCACGACAGGCAGGGACACCTTCCACTAGAGGAGGTTGCTCCAAGCCCCATCCAACCTGGCCTTGAACACTGCCAGGGATGGGGCAGCCACAGCTTCTCTGGGCAACCTGTGCCAGTGCCTCACCAGAAACAATTTTTTGCTAGTATCTAATCTAAATCTACCGATTTTGGAGCTAAAAAAACAACCCCAAATCAAAAACCTGTAACACACATAGCCACCCACATCATCAAAAGCGCTTGATGAGTTGGGTTCCTAGCTGCTACTTAAGTCATCTTGGACGAAATTCTAGACATGCTGAATTTCCTCTGATATCCTAGAAGAATGAACTTTCTTAGGAGAGCTGAAATACATGAGGGTAAAATGATACTGGCATAGCTGAACAACGCACTTTAAAGAAAAATGCATTCCCTTTGTATATGCAAGACGTCACAACTAGGTAATGCCTCTCCTAATTTCTAAGGCACTGTGGCATATGAAGACAGTTGCTAACTGTAGGAGGCACAGCTGAATCAGAGAATTTTCTCCAAAAAGCACATCAGACATCTGTTCAACTGCATGGGAGGCAGAGCAGTGGAACACCTGTAGCTAAAAGTCTTCAAAAATCCTTGTAATTTAGCAATTACAAGAATGCTAAAATCCTGAGTCCAACTGAGTTGTAGCCTTTGCATTATGAGAGAGGATAAACACAAAGGGCATGAAGAAGAAATCACTCAAGTTTGTACAAAGATAGTCAGAAAACAGCATTTTCAAGAATACAGAGCCAGTGGTATGCTCTACAATAAGCACCAAAGGCAGAGTTACCCCAAGGGTTGTCTGAGACTAACAAGGAACTCTTCCAACAGTTTGTACTACGAGAATTGCAAGCTTTTGTTCAAAACATCCCATCACGTCTATCCACCCTGAAACCCAGGCCCTGGGAAACTGTCTACGTGAAACCCTTCTTGCAAGTCTTTCATACACAGTTGTAATATGTTGGATGTGTAAACAGTTGGTACCAAAGGGGTTGGGTGCTGCCCACCAAGCAAGATATGTAGCATTGCCAAAGTTAAGTCAGAGCTACAAGTTCAGTTCTGCCTGTCTCTCCTCATGTCAATACAAGAGTTGGCATGATATACGAAATTTAGATATGGGAGCAAAGGGGAAACACCAAAAGGAATTCCAGCTTTGGCTTGCTAACTCTTTTAGTCATGAAGAATACACTTCAGGGCAATCCGAGCCTGTAAACAAGTACATTAACATTTGCACAGGAAAGCTCTAAAACAAAGCCATGATTTTCAGGGGGGAAAAAAAAAGAATCCTAAAACCCATCTTGTTTATATCCTCAGCAGGGATCAAAGCATAGAGAGAACAAAAATGTAACAAACTACAACCCCAATGTGTACTACATGATAGTCCCATGTGTTACAATAATAACCTACATGAAAAAAATTAGCTACATTAACAAAATACAGACTCTGGTTTACTGCATAAAACATTCAACACTTCTATCAGTAAAACTGTCACTATCATCCTGACCTTCTCATGTCCCCACTTCATAGATGTCCCAGTTCCCTATGTGCATGCATCAAATCTAAGACATTACCAGTTCCCACAGTGAATTAATTTCTACAGTTAATCACACAAGAAATTCTTCTAACTAAAAGGAATAAACATTAAAGAAATGTAAGCACATCTTGATATTTATTATTCAGGAGTTTGAAGAGCCCTCGTTCTATCTAAGCTCTTCGATTGTCTTGTTCACAATAGCATTCCTCTCCCACTAAGTCATACTGCCTGTTCCTCACAGTAGCCTTGAATTACAGGCTTCTTTATAACAATGTAATTGATGTTTAAAAAAACCCAACCAAAATACAGAGAGCTTATAACATCAGAAATATGAATTCTTAGTGGCGAGAAACCATGATACAAGACAAAGAACAACAGTGAATTCTGTTACAAGTCATTTCAAAGGTATGAATTAGACATTAACTGACAAACATACAGACTGTGACGTTCTTCCCCTGCTGAGGGCTGAGAATGCAGGAGAACGCTTAAGATAATGATCCTCCCCATGACTGGAAATGTGAAATACTTAATCTCAAAGTTAGAGCTAGGCATATACTTACACATTACATACACACACAGATACTGGGGTTTAGAAGACCTCCAGAATGGTCTTTCAAAGCATCCGCTTCTATATCCAGCTTCAATCTCCCCTGACCCACAAATGCATAGAAAGTTGTTGGTGGTGAATCTGCTTCCCCTATCGACACCTCAAGGCACTCCACCTGATAGAAAGCAGGAGTAAAGGCACTCTACACTGCTCAGGTTTTAACATATAATATTGCAGAGCTATGTGTGAGAATTACACAACCTGCTCATCTCACCCTTCCCTCCTTTGCTGAGCCCACATCTAACAACTGAGCAGTGCCATGGCCCCCTTCAGGGTCCACCACCTTGCACTCCTCACACCAGCAAGCAGGCCTGTGAGACAGCGGAGTGCTGCAGTGCAAAGGGAGGGGAATGATGGATAGAGAGTCAATGTCTCTGATTACCAGTAATTTTCACTGCAAAGTAAAATAAACAAATATTTAAAAAATGCAGTTGTACAACTGCATTTACAAATGAACAACAAAAAAAAGTGACATATGCAGGTCAGCATTTGAAGTTGCATAAAAGGAAATGTGCTATTTGTTCCACTCAACTGAAAATAGGTTATATAAGCTTTTCAGGTTATAAGGGTTACTTAATCATTGCTTTCATGTGTAAGTCACAGATTTGGCACAAAATTCAGAACCCGGTATTTTTGTTTAACCTCCAAAGAGCTTCATTTTGACTGAAAACCAAAGTAAACAAGCCATAAAAGCAGCAGAGGAATCCAGTCCCGGCCACACCTTGCCACTGCAGAGCCAGCGAGGCAGAACACAGCCAGGTACATAGATAACCCTACAGGTGAAGCCATGTACAAAAAAACCCCAACACTCAAGCTCTTCTGGAAAACAAAGCGCTTGCGTGTGCTTAAGTTCACCAGCAGCCTGGTGAGGCCAACACCATATTTGACACCTCTGAAATTTCTTCTTGGAGGATGCACTACATGCCACAACATTGGGCGAGAATGGGAAAACCACATGTTGCTCGCAGTAGAAGACCACGTTTGCTTGACCTGTGGCAAGAGCCTGACGCCCAAGCGGCCCGCCAAGGGCTGACTGGCCCTTTAGCCTCTTGCCAGTCCTTCTGCGTGTCCTCCGCAGCTACAGGGCAGGCGAGCGGCTTCCCCCCAGTACACCACGCCCGGCCCCGGGGCCCGCTAGACAGACGACCAGCCCACCCGGCTGCCCGGGAGGAGAGCGAAAGAACCGCAGGCAGGACGGAGCGAGCCGCCGG